AAAAAAAAAAAAATGATTTTTAAATAAACACATCTAAATTTTGCGTTTATCGAAAACACAAAGAAAAAGAAATTAAATGCTAAAAAAATATATATAAAATAAAAAACTATGTACACTACTCACCAGAACTGAGAACATGTATAATGAAAAACAATGATCTTTAAATAAACACATCTAAATTTTACGTTTATCTAAAACACACAAAAAAAGGAAACGCTAAAAAAAATAAAATGAAAAACTATGTACACTACTCACCAGAGTCGAGACGTGTATAATAAAAAAGAGAAATTATTAAATACAATGAAGCAAAAAAAAAGAAATTAAAACTGGGATGCAAGCCGAAACTAATCACTTCAGGGCCTTGAAGGGAATAGCAATTAAATTTTACAATTTTAGTCTTTTAGAACTTTATAAAAAACGATATTAGCGAATGTTTCGATGTTGTAATTAATCATAAAATACCTCTTATATGTCATTTTAACATTAAATGCTGATTGTGTGACCGAAGAGAGTTTGATAAAAATCATGACTCTTCTCATCTGTCTAACATAATTCTAAAAAAGAGGATCGCAATAACTCAAATCATACGTGATTTGAGGTTCGGCATGCCAGATAAATCAACGACGCTCACAGAAGCGTTTTCCAGAGTTTACCTATTTTCCGTCAAAATGTCTCCTGCAGAAACTGGTTTTCCAGCCGCAACATCGAGCCGAAGTTATTTTAGGCAAAAGTTCATTCCAGCCGGATTTTGGTGGAGAGGCAATCCAAATTTGACTTTCTTTTGAGAAAATCTGAATCTGACTTTCTCTTTAAGCCAAATTTGAAAAAAAAAAAAAAAAGTAGCGAGTCTCCCCAGCCAAGTAATCGACACTGCATTCCCTCTAAAATAAATGTCAAATTTTGCACCACATGCAGAACAGCCTGCAAAATTATCCCACTAGTAACCTACTGTATGAAGACACACGCGTTTTTTAATAGATAAAGCAAAATCATGCAAGTACCACAGTGCCAGCTCGGGTTCAGGGAGTAGGTGATCGAAGAAAAAGAAAATCGGCACTAGATAACAAATGTTTGTAGCATCAATTTTCCCAAAGGGAATTTTGCAGACTATTTTATATGCATCAACGTATTTCCTTCAGTATGCAATGAATGAAAAAAACTATTAATCGAGGCCAAAAACTAATTCACGGCGATAATTTGTGAAAACCGTTCATCTGGTTGCATGTTGAAACAAGAAGTGTTTTCTAGTGCCTAAAACTTTCTTTCTGTGAATAAGGCTCCGAATAGGTGGGGCTTGCGGAGGCGTTCAGGAACGATGGCAGAGTTTGTCCTGGAAGTAGACTCATCTTCCTGCCTTCAGCGCTCAGAGTACGACCGGCTGGTGGCGGTGGCATTGCGTAACAGCTGTCCAGGTACATATGGGACACTTCCTCCACCAATGAATTGTCCGGTACAGCAGACGCCATACCTATAAATAGGCGTAAACAGAATGCAACAAACGAGCGAAAAAACGCTTCCCAAACTAAAACACGTAAAGCTAAAACAGACAATACTGATATGACAACCGCTGATTAGTGCCGATGTAGGTTGCACTGATATTGTCGGGACTAATATTATAGAAAAGAGGCCAAAAATGCTAACGCACCAATGGCAGATGTGTGTATCTGCTTGTCTACAAAATGTATAAAAAAAAATTATCGAAACTGGTATATGTGAAAAACTCGAGCGCTGCACGACAAAAACGCATAAATAGGTGAGCTAATGGCACATGCTTACCGTAAGGACTGCAATAAGGCTGCCAAAACTAATACACGAAAAAAAGCCTGCAACGTAAACATACCAAAAATATGCGCTAGCTTTACTTTACTTCGCAAAATCGATAAAACAATGCAAAAAACTGTAGTAGAAAAGCCCAGTTTTCCCAAAACATGAAAAAATATGTTTATAGGATGTAACGACTAACCGTAGATGGCAGCAGTTCTCGACTGTTGGCTGAATTCCGGATTCGAAATCAGATCCTCACATGCCATGTTCAGTTCACGAAGGAACTCATCGACAACACCAGGCTTCGTATGGTTTAGTGTTACACATATGTGAACGCTGAAATAATGTCCGGAACAATCCAACAAACTAATAATAATGTTACATACAATATCGCACAAATCCAACTTTGACTGGCATAAAATCTCTCAGAGAATGTTTATACTGATGGGTCCATTTTTTAAGAAAAATATGTATGACCAAATAAGCTTGAGTTTCGCATATTTGCCCTAATTCGCTTAGATTTCGCGTTTTTACACCAAAGAATCAGCTAAGCTCAAAACATTTTCCAGCTAATCATGCTGATTGTCGCGGAGAAACCGCGAAAAGCCGTCGCCAAAAAGACGCAACGAAAGAAAGAAGGCATATCTTGTTTTGAAAGGCAGATACACAGTAGATGTGCTGACAAGCCAAACCTAGAGCACAAGGGCTGGTACTGCAGTGGTGACACACTGTGTTCGGTGTTAAGAGGAGTTGTTCGATTCCCTACCGTGCAGGGGCAATTTCTGGAAAAAGGACTCCGTTCATGAAAGTGGCAGGCACTGTATAGCGCTGTTTTCATAACGAAAGTCATGGTGCTATACTCCGCGAATGGGACATCCAACCCCTCCATCTGTCCTTCTTTTGTTCGATGGCAAATTAGCACTAAAGGAAGCCAGAGAGCCATAACTGCCAACAGCTTGCTTCTTGGAACAGGAAATTATTGACAATCTTGTTAACGAGTTGCTGATGCTTGCGCATAGGTTACTTTCTAGTAACACCACCTACCACAGTGGGTGAAATAGGGAAGCGGTTTTTTTTTTTGATTTATGGCTTTCAACCGACCAAAAAACCACTTCGGCTTGCACTGCCATTATTAAACACAAACCTTCACAATTTCTCAAGCACGTGTGGCTTTGAACGCGAAAAAACTTCCCCCCCCCCCCCCCCCCCCCCCCCCCCCCCCCCCCCCCCCCCCCCCCCCCCCCCCCCCCCC